CCCCAAAACCCCAAAACCCCAAAACCCCAAAACCCCTTCGTCTTGATATCACTGACTAATTTATAAAATATTAGCGACGATCGGACATTAAATTATTCAAATAAAATGATGATAAAAAATGGTACTCGGATAAATGAGCGATATGATCTTGTTAAGTTAATAGGAAGAGGATCATATGGCTAAGTGTGGGAAACTAAAGATATTGAGGATAGTGAATCTGGGAGAACTTATGCCATCAAAATTGTAAAAATTTTTCTATAAAACCTGATAATGTAGTTCCACAACAAAAGAGGGTTTGATAAGGAATTAAAGATTTTACAATGCATAGAGAAATCCAAAATGGATGGTATATAACGAGAATAAACTGATTTCATAGGTCTTACTCGAATTATAGAATTTGGGTCTCAATAAAACTAACATTTTATTCTTATGGAAAAATTAGGTCCTAGCCTGGAAGATCTCCTCCTATGAACTGGCAAGACCTTCACGTTAAAGACCGTTTTGCAAATAGGGATCCAGATGGTATTTAATAATAATTTAAATACATTAATCTTGACTTTTAAAATATAGTTTAATATTATCCGTGATCTGCACTCGTAAGAAATTGGATACATCCATCATGACATAAAACCGGATAATGTACTGATAAGATAAGAAAACAGGACTAGCTATTAGTCTTCACTATTGAATCTTATCGATTACAGTGTTTGCAGACCGATTTACAAGAGTTTAGAGGATGATATGAATTCAGATGATTCTGATGAATTCAATGGAAATATTGTTTTCGCTAGTCTTAACTAAATGCAAAAATAAAGTATAAATAAGAGTAACTTAAAATTGTATAATTTTAGGTCCTTCTCAAAAAGATGACATTATATCAATTCTTTATATGTTGATCTACTTGAGAGATGGAGATTTGCCCTGGACTAAAAATTTTCGTTTAATGACTATGGAGTAAAATTTTGAGAGAATCTTGAAGCTTAAGGAGCAATTCCACATTGAAGCAATATAGACTAGTGAAAATTCATGTAATATTCAAACTGAGCTTAAAATTTAATAGGTCCTTTCACATTTCTAATTCAAATTATTGACTAAATGCCTTCAAGTGGAAAGATAGAATACAAGTTTTTCATCCAAGCACTTTAGAATGAAATGAAAAAAACAAACATGAAAATTGACTGGATTATGGACTGGAGTTAACCATCAGAACTTCCTTAACACTCCTTAGAGCATAATCAGCATGAATTTTCTTACTTCTTGATAAAAGATTAGAAGGTTTTTATAAGAAATTTGCAAGGTACAACTAATATGGCTAGTAACATCATATTTAGTTCTGGATTGGAGGATAATCCAGGTGCTATAATGTCAGATAACTTCAATTTTATGATATCTGGCATAAGCTCCTAAGATATCTAAATGAGTGAAGCACCATCCTAAGGTCGGTTAAAACTTAACTAATTCAGTATCAACTTGAATGATTCAAAAAGTGTTATTAGCTAATAGAAGAGTAACAAATTCTTATACAGTAATGTCTAAAAGCTTAATGAAGTAAATTAGTAATTATCAAGAAAGAGAATAAGTTAATCAAATAAAAAGAGTTTTTTTAAAGGCTGTCATTTCGAACTAGGAAAGTTATAATAAAGTATCTCATAAAAAATTGACTTTATTTAAGAGGAAATTAAGGAAGAGGATAGTAATTCAATGTGAGAGATAATTTTCGAATATGACGTCGAAGAAATTAAGGAATCTTAACAGGATTCTCCCCTATCGAATAAATAATAATAATTTCAACCTTCACCAAATATAGCACCTAATGCTGAGGGCCATAGTAATACAATGAAAAATAGAATATATGCTTATAGCTAATTGATAAACTATGATGACTATATAGATAAGGATGAGTCAGAATTATTCCCTTTTGATATCGATGAAGATACATTCGGAGATACATAAAGGAAAATAAGGACTTTCGTGTTATTCGGTAATAGAAGAAGAAATTCTAATGACATTAAAGCTATAAATTTAAAGTAATATAGATGACCATAAACACTTTATGATGTTAAAGCCGATGTTAAAGTGTAAGTAACCTCGCAATAAATAAATAAGTTTATGATTAAAAATCTTTTGTTAAAAGTCTGGAATGGTGGAATAACGAATTAATTTGTGGCATATTTCATTTTCTATTAATACATTATATGTTTCCATTTAAAAATTTATCCGCTCTAATTTATTATTTTAACAAACTCCAATCTAGCATTTATGACTTTCTGGGGTTTTGGGGTTTTGGGGTTTTGGGG